TGGAGACGATCCTGTGAAGAGGAAATGAAGAAGTGCAACCTGTCGTGGGGTGAAGTGAAAAAGGCTGCCCAGAATAGACTGCGTTGGAGAGCTGTTGTTGAGGCCCTTTGTTCCACGGGGAGTCCAAGGAGATAAGAAGAAGAATAACACTGTATAGAGCACAACAGTCAGCATGTGCCAAAGTTTGGCCATCCTGTACCCCACTACACCATGTAGACCTACAGATGATCAGCAGTTTGTTTAAACCCCAGCATCACTTAACTTAAATGTAAAGGCTGTTTCTGCTGCTGATTGTTTCATGTTTGTTTCCACAGTCCCCCGTAGGCATTACACCCTAGTTTGTCAGTCTTGATGATCTGAGTTTTCTTCTGTCACTTGTCTCTTGCAAACAGGGTCTGTGGTTGACGCTAAACTGTGTCGCTGTGAGCCATCCCCATTATATATGATTGGACAAAACACACAAATGCCCGTGGGTGGCCAATTCTGCATCGGCGCACACACTGAGTTGATGTTGTGAAGCAATCACCACACTTTAAATTGTAATAACACAGCTTAGACCATTACATTTTGCAGGGCATACACTTCACTTATGATTGGCTCTTAAAGCACTCACAAAAATGTGACGTTATGAATTTCAACTGGATTATGCAAAAATATGGGGCTGAGCGGGAATACAGGGGGGTTGTTACTGACAATGTGAAGTGGTGTGAGGAAAATCAACCGGTCCTGAACACCAGTAAGACTAAAGAGATGGTGATTGATCCCCGGTGGAAATCACCAGCACTTACACCGATGAGCTTTCAGGGCTCAGTCATTGAGATTGTGGACACCTTTAAATACCTGGGGGTCCACCTCAAGAACAAAATGGACTGGACTGAAAACACTGATGCCCTGTACAAGAAGGGCCAGAGCCGCCTCCACTTGTTGAGGAGACTGAGGTTCTTTGGTGTGCGGGGGGCACTCCTTCTGACTTTTTATGATACTGTAGTGGCATCTGCTGTGTTACGCTGTTGTGGGCTGGGCGAGAGGTAGCATGGACAGGGACAGAAAGAGACTAAACAAGCTGGCCAAGAGAGCTGGGTCTGTCCGCTTCCTGGATTCCATCGATGTGGCGGACAGAAGGATTCTGGTAAAACTAACATCCATCATGCACGACCCCTTCCATCCCCTGCACCACACAATAGAGGGTCTGAACAGTTCCTTTAGCGGAATACTGTTACATCCCCAGTGTAAGAAGAAATGTAAAACTTAAGATGTAGCATTTTTCAACCTACTATATATAAATATTTAAAAAGAAATTACATCACTGAAGGGATAAGCTAGGTGAAAGTATGAGGGACTATGTAATAGTCAATTGAGGTGCAATACTCAAATCCTGGGGTAAAATGCACGGTTAATATGTACATATGTAAATTCTGTTCTTGATTATTCAAATACTTGAGTCTATTTTTGAGTACTTGGAATTTATTTGTCAGGATGTGTGTGTGGTGCTTGTTCTCATCGTGTTATGCTGTCTGTTCTCTATTGCTGCTTGAGGTACTGAAATTTGTTTATCAAGATATGTGTGTGGTGTTCGTTTCTCATGGTGTTATGTTGTTTGTTCTCCATTGCTGCTGAAACACTGAAATTTCCCCATTGAGGGATCAATAAAGTACCTACCTACCTAACATTTGCACATATTTGAATTTTGTTTTTGCGCTTGTGTGTATGATCCCCCTCAGGTGTTCGACGGCGCAATCATTGTACTGTCACTGGCCCCCATGGTGGCCTCCACGGTGGCCAACGGGCCCAGCAGCCCTTGGGATGCCATCAGCCTCATCATCACCCTACGCATCTGGAGGATTAAGAGGATCATCGATGGTGAGGCAGACCTATGAAACTTGTCTTGTTAAGTGGTCTGTGTGCAATGCTGGTTAATTTTGTGGAGAGAATCAAAGAATTAGCCCATTTTTCTAAACACAAAACAATCGCACAGATACATAAAAATCATCTGGCCTTGAAAGAGTTAAATGACCCCATTCACTCCATGATTATACAAATTATTTACTATTCAGAGCAACATAGCTATTGATCAGCCCTCAGAGTGAATTGTTGCCAGTCTGTTGCTCTAACTTGTATTGATCGTAAGGAGCTGGTTAAATAGATTCAGAGAAGCTTTAATGAATATAGTGGTTGTTCTCCCTTATGCTAATGCAGACGGTTCAATATGTGTTCGGAGGTCACCCTCACCACAGGCCTCTGACTGCATACAGGATCAGCTACACATAGACCACACAGGAACTCACGATGTACACTAAGTTATATCTTGTTTGTTCAGTCTCTCTTTATCTTTTTATATACTGTTTTTGTACAGAGAGGGCCTGCATGTATATTTTTGTTTTGGTTGATTTTAGTTTAGTCCAGACTCCTCCATACAGCATTTTTAATGCATCAGATATATTGATATATAGAGGAGGACACATCATAGTGACATGATTTATCAGATCGGGAATCAATACAACAACCATCAACATCAGTGACTTACACTGCTGAAACAGTGCCCATGGGAGAAGTGTGCTTCTTAACATGCAGCTGCAGTGTTGGTTTCCAGGGACTGAACTTGTTATGTTCCTCAGCATGTCGGGTTTGATAGTGAGTGATTGAGTTTTGTTGTTAGGCAGGCAGCAACACACCTCACAAAGAAAAAAATCCCAGTCAAACCAATAAATGTACAGCTGAGGAAACGGCACAGGAGAGGGATCGGGTATCTCGCAGAATGAGCCTGATGTTTAAAGAAGCACTGTTTGTGTCAGTGTGATGAAAGTGGAGATGCACTGAATTTAACTGCAGCAGACTTTGTGAGGACTTGAAAACAAAGCTGTTTTTCTTAGCAGTGTGAGATAATGTAACAGAAGTGTGTGACAGTGAAACACTTGACTGTAGGTGAGAGGAGCGGTGGAGCAAGGCTTTGTGAAGCATCTGTGAAGCTGTGGTGTAAATGACACTGATATGTGTGTGCAGCCAGTATCTGTTAGCAGTGCTGTTTGACAGCACTAATGTCAAGTCAAATCAAATCAAATCAAATTTTATTTGTATAGCGCCAAATCACAACAAAAGACATCTCAGGACACTTTACAAAGTAAGGTCTACACCTTACTGTTATCAATATTATTACATAGGGAAAACCCAACAAATCCCCCTTGAGCAGCACTTGGTGACAGTGGGGCAGAAAAACTCCCTTTAATGGAAGAA